TGTTGCACTATAATGTAATACATATTACGTGTTGATACTTTGTCTGTCAGGGAGTTTAGCCACGAATAAGAAGTCCTTGTGATGGTGGTTCTGTTTAACCATTGTGAAACATGAACACTTTTGAAGGAAGAATTATGCTTGCAATTTTTCCTAAAATGTTCATCCTGACTTTATATACAGTTTTTTGACTTGAAAGTGCCCACGATATGACACATTTTAAAAGTACTCATGTGAGACCCTGATAGACTGATGTGAGCTAGTCCGAGCTTTGACTTGTTCTCGCATAGCCTAGTTCAATGGAGTGGTCCAATCTGAACAAAGGTCCAATGTAAATAGTTAAAGCTAGATTTGCCCAACTACTATTAATATTTATTATCCATCTAGTGGCTTTTTTAGTCACAGATTCTCGTACTTTGATAATTTATAACTGGACCTTTTATAATTTGTTTTTTACATTTCATTATAATTAGAGAAGATTTGAATGATTATGTAGGGAAAACATATGGTGCATAAAAACTGGTGCATGGGGAGCTTTGATTATAGAAAAAAAAATGAAGATGATATGATTTTGAATTTTGCAACTACGTATGATCTTATAATTGTAAATACTCACCTTAAGAAGAGAGATAAACATTTAATTACTTATGGGAGTGATCACAACTGTAGTCAAATGGATTTTTTTTCCTCACTGGAGAGGTAGATTAAGTTATTTGCAAAAATTGTAAAGTTATATTTAGCGAAAGTTTGACGAATCAACATGGCTTTATGATTGTTGTTGTAACATAAAACTTTCTAATGTTGCCTTTGCGCAGAGAAGATTACTTACAGCATATGGAGGTGGCACCGAAGAAGCTAAATCAGCTAGTACCGGTAACATGTATCATTCAACCACAGCTCTGAATTCTCCACTCGTGTAAGTTTCGTGTTGTTGTTCTTGAGAATGTCTTGTACACCTACCGTGCTCTTGAATGGTCTGTCTAAATTATGCAGGGTTCAAGGTGAATGAATGTTACATATTCTAGTCTCATGACGACTGGTGATGCATGTAGAGCTAGCTCCTTTCCAGCCATGGAGAGCGAGACACATGATGTATCTCGACGGAGTTGTCAGAATGGTCCTTGTACAGCTGAAGAGTCATATCTCTGAGGGCTCTTCTGATTGTATATATCAGTCTCAGGGATGCAGAGACCAGCCCATCTGAAGTACATGCCATCACCTTCTGTACCTGTTCATGCAGTTCTGTTTGCAGGATGCCTAGTTAGGAAGTTTTCGTAAAGCATGTGTCGTCACGAAGGAAGTGTTTTGTCTGTTTGCAGGATGCCTAGTTAGGAAGTTTTCGTAAAGCATGTGTGTTGTCATGAAGGAAGTGTTTCTGTTTGTTTGCAGGATGCCTAGTTAGGAAGTTGTCGTAAAGCATGTGTTGTCACATAGGAAGTGTTTCTCCGTCTTCTGTTTTTTGCAATTTTGTTTGGAAGTCATTATGCCACCTCCTATATCTAATGTGGAAATAAGCATGTGGTGTGATATAGCACACAGCCCATAAGGGCCCGTCACGTGACCTACGTCATGACATATACAATAGCCTGGCCTAAAGAGCAGAGGGGATCGGCCCACACCCCACTTGAATGCGGCCCGCCCCGTCACCAGAAGGTAGTAGTGCACGGCCCACCATGCGGCCCATTAAACTTATAAAGGCCCGGCCTATAGCATACGTGGATCCGGCCCACAGTTAATAGTACGAGGACCCAACCACAGAAACCTTTCGCTTGGATTACGTCTTCCTAATAGTACGAGGCACCAAACCATCGAGCGGTCCATGTACCTACTTAAACTTGCGAGCAGAGTCACATGCCACGATATGGCGGCTATAAATATTATGGACACAATAAAAGCATGCAGCAGTGATGGCCAATCGGTGCATGCACTCCGGTGGTAGCATTAATTGAGAGCGTCTGAGCTGGGAATTCTGCACCCCGATAGATCGATAGAGACATTGCAGCTACCCTTTCTTATCATCCCACATCACGTAGACCACCAAGCGGTTTGGAGTCGGGAGGACGAGGGAGCCATCCGTATCATCATCACCTCTGTGATTAGATTCGTGCTGATGATGATCGAATCCCAATCCATCATCTTAAATTCGATTAGACTAAAGCAGGTACGACGAAACGGAGATGACAGGGGAAGCAGGTGCAGCAGCGGCTTTGGCACTTAATGGGGGGAATGAATGCGGCCGTTGGGAGCGTCGTACGGCTCGCCACCGGGGATGACAGCAACTGGTCGACAGCGGGCGGTCCCCCGTGGCTGTCGTCTTCTACAAAACCCCAGCCAGCACCGTCGTCATCATAATATACGTAGCTGCAGGCATTTGGTCGGTCCCACGACGGCCTGACCCCGCATGCACGTGACCCAGTGCCGCCATGAGGAGACACCCCAGAGCACGGCCGATCGAGATGCTCGACTCCCTCGCAACCGGGATCTCACGTTCTCCGTCATCTTCCACTACTGTCACCGACCTCCATGGCTCCCATCCTCTCGGATGCTAGGGTTTCCATCACAGATCTCACACGATGGATTTCCACAGCTGTCGGATCCATCGTTTCTTCCGGCACAATTAGCTGCATGCAAGCAGTGCAGCAGCTGACTTGCACTGTGCATGGTGTTACAGCGCAACTGTGCCGCCACAGTTCATACAACCCATAAGCTCCTTCACAGTGCAAGTGAGACTCGAGCCAATAGGAACAGCCACAAGTACGAGAGCAAGAAAGGAGTACTGAGACTCCTTTTGGCCTCCTTCTTCTTGCATGGATCCATAGTCATTCCAACAGCCTCGTCGGCAGAGATGGCTTTAACCCTGGAGGAGGACCATGGCATTAGCTGAGGCTGTAGCATAAGGCCTGTGTACTGGAATGCAGAACAACATTGACATGAGATAAATGATGTGGATGACGACAGGGTGACCGCTGTTAAATCTAAGAAGAATAGCATCTAAAACCTGTTTATGGTTGACCAGTACGAGGACACGATAACCGGTTCTTCCTCACGGCCAATGTCTTCCTTGGGTTATATTAGCACGCATGCATTGAATGGAAACTGTTAACATCACTGCACTGTGATGTTGGGGGAAGAGAAGACTTCAAAACCAAAAGAAAAATCTAAGAGTTTAGCAATCAAAAGGTGCGAACGTTCATCGCCAACAAGAGTCAACATCCAACGTGAAGCTTCTCAGATCGGAATACACAAACGCCACCGGTGGTGATGGCGACAAAAGGATGCACTGCGTCCAGCCGCAGGCCCTGACACTCGAAAAGGTAGCTCATGGAGCTGAAGCCGAGTTCACAGTCGATATGAATCGAGATGGAGACCGTCGGTGGCACATCACTTCCTCAAAAGGATACAGCGAGTGCCACAGCCGACAGCTTGTGATGGCGAGCGAGGAGGGCGATGCGCATCTTATCAAACTCGACCCGATCGGATCGCATCAGATCGGACTGGACGAGACCATCCACACTGCCGTCCTTCTCATGTGCTATAGGAAGAGACTGGGGGACCGACGCTGGCCCTCTCTCTCTCTCTCTCTCTCTTGCCGGTCCGTGATCTCCACATGGACGGATTACTCCTGCTTTCCCGGGTGGGGCATCTCGTGCATCAGATGCTGGGACATTATCATGTCTGCAATAGTCTTCATCAGCATTTGGATCCAACCTACATTATGTGTCTCGAGCACTTCATGTCGGAGGTATTCGTCGTGCATGGAAGACGCGAGAAGTAGAAGATGATGGTTTGGTTCATCGCTTGGATTTTGGATTTGAATCGAAATAGGAACGATCGAATCCTCGACATGTTGAGTTCAGACATCAAAGAAGGTTTGATAGGTCAGCTTTGTCATCACATCATATCGTTTTCTAACCCATCGCCTTCTCCAACGTGTTGGTAGAATATTCCCCTTTCTCCCAGCTCGCATGCTTTTCTGCCACGTTCGAGCTCCGCTCTCCTCCTCCTCATTGTTCCCAGTCCGTCTCGATCTACTGCTCCAATCACACAAGCATTTTGCTTCTAAATTTAGATCGATGAAATCGATCTCTGTGTACTACGTTCATATGAGTTGGACATCAACCAGAAAATTGAATGGGAAGGGTGTAAGGGTGATGGATTCACTGACAGTGGTGAGGCCACTGAAGGAGAGTGCAGCAATCCCACACCTTTAGGGGTTCACGTCGGTGGCTGTGATCGACAGAACCCCACGGCACCATCACAAGGGGTCGAGAAGCCAAGAGAGGATAAACTTCCCACGCCTCACGCTTTACGTTATGCTTATCCCAAAGTTTAATTTCACGAACAACAATATATATATATATATATATATATATATATATATATATATATATATATATATATAAGATATTAAATATTTTCTGACGATTTAATTGATTTTTATATTTTTAGATGATTTTAGTAATTCTAAAATATGGAAAAATAAAATAATAAATGAATAAAAGAATCAGAGGAGCAACGGAAGGGAAGGGTGGGGGTTCTATGCAGCTTCCTCGTGCAGGAGCCGTCCATCACATCATGATGACACGACTCACGTAGCAAGCAAGCAAGCGGCCCACGTCGCGTCGTAGGGCCGGTCATGCGTCCCCGATGCTTCCTTCCGTGCTTTCGGCCGACACAGCTGGATACAGCGTTTCCCCTCCCTTCGTATCCCCACCCGCAATCGAGTACCCCAATCATCGCTCCCCCACCTTCCCGCTCCTCGCCCCGGCCATCCGTTTCCCGTGACCTCCCTCGCCCTCCTCACGTCTCTCTCCAACCCAACACGATCGAACCATATATATCCGTAGCTGTCGAAATGGACGGTTCGGCCCTCGTTGTCACGTGCATGACTCGTGCTCGATCGGCAGGACCGATGGAGTAATGCCGCCTTGAAGCGGACGCTCATCCTCTGCCCCCCCACCCCGTGACGTCACCGTCTGTACCATATATTTTGACCTTTCCTTCTACCAACCACGCCACACACCACCGTCTTACTCTCTCTCTCCATCCTATAGCCTCGGCAGCGGTAGCGAGAAGAGGCGAGAGGGAGAGTGGTGATTTCCTCGTCGATGGCTTGTCGGTTGCTCTGGCTACCCTGTCGACGAAGCTCCCTTCCTTTGTGATTCCTTCTTGAGTGAGAAAGATATTGGGAGGGCGGATCTGAGAGTCTTCTTGCTCTTATCATCACAGCAGGAAAGAGAGAAGCGTGGGAGAGAGGAAGAAGAAGAAGAAGAAGGGGAGAGAGAGAGAGAGAAGATGCAGTCGGGATATGGAGGCGTGTCGGAGATCCAGCAATTCATGGTTGAAAGCTGCGGCCCGTCGCTCTTCTCCATCGCCTCGGCAAACCCCGCCGCGGCTGCGGCGCCCACCGACATCCACCACCCCGCGGTCCCTCACCCTCTCAAGTACCATCCCCTCGCTCACCCGCAGCCACCCGCGCTGCCTCCCCACTTCTCCCATTTCCACACCATCCCCATCACCCAGCAGCTCTTCCAGCAACCCGCCGCCCATCAGTTCCAGCTCTTCCACCCCTCCCACCACCACCAGCAGCAGCAGCAGCAGTACCTGGAACCCATGAGGCTGATTCCGCAGCACCCGCTCGGACTGGACCAGGAGTCGGGCCCCGAGAACTCCGCCTCGCCAACACGCATCATCCCCGGCGGCGGGGGCGGCGGAGGGCCGTCGTTTCTGGCGCCGGCGATGGGCTTTAAGCTGGCGATGGAAGAGAGCAGCGGTGGCGGTAGCCGGGACGGAATTAATGATGGTGATGCCATCTTGCATGGAGACGATGGATCCGAGAGTCGCCTTCACCACTGGCAACGAGATGACGAGTCCGCCATTAAGGAGCTGTCATGGTAATGAATTATTGGCCATTTTTTACTTAGCAAAGCTAAATAATTCATCTGAAAAAGAAGAGAGACTAGCTGATGATTCCTTCCTGGGATTTGCTTTTTGATCATTACTGGTGAAAAAGCAGAAAAGGATTTGCTTGTAAGAGCACCTAAAAGGCAATCTACAAGTGTCATTGGAATAGTATGTATTTTTAGGTTCGTTCCTACGCTTATGCTGCTCCTACACTCATATTTGATCCACTGCAGGAGGCCACTGGATATAGACTACATCAACAGGAACAACAAGAGGTGCACGGATAAGAAGCCTGAGTGCTCCAGTGGACACTACTCTAAGAAGAGCAAAGAGGTAGCGGAGTGTGATCATGTGCAGGCCGCCGGCGGCAGCAACTACAAGCTCTTCAGTGAACTCGAGGCCATCTACAAGCCCGGTGGCGGCAGTAATGCCGGTGGCGGAGCCAATCAGACTGGCTCAGGCTCCGCCCTCACTGGCGATGAGACCCCTCTCTTGCACGTCATGGTCCCGCCGGGGCTACCCGCCGCCGATCGTGTCGGTGGGACGTCGGAGACATCAGCGGGGGAGGAGGCACCGACTAAGAAATCGTCTAAAGACGGCGCGCGGCGGAGGAGGAAGCGGCGACAGCGGCAGCTTAGCTCGGTGGCTGCCTTCTTTGAGAGCCTGGTGAAGCAGCTCATGGACCACCAGGAGGGCCTCCACAGGAAGTTCTTGGAGGTGATGGAGAGGAGGGAACAGGAGAGGACCAGCCGCGAGGAGGCATGGAGGAAGCAGGAGGCCGCTAAGTCCAGCCGCGAGGCGGCTGCGAGAGCCCAAGAGCGCGCCCTCGCCTCCTCACGCGAGGCCGCCATCGTCTCCTTTCTCGAGAAGATCACCGGCGAGAGCCTCGACCTCCCTCCCAAACCCCACTTCCCCGAGGTCGATGCCGACAAGGAGGAGAACCTCCAAATCGAACAGTACTCGGATACCCTCAACAATGGGGATCCAGATAGCAACAAGGTGTCGTTCAACACGAGTAGATGGCCGAAGGCGGAGGTCCAGGCGTTGATCCGCGTCCGGAGCGGGCTGGAATCGAGGTTCCAGGAGCCGGGACTGAAGGGGCCGCTGTGGGAGGAGGTGAGCGCGACCATGACCACGATGGGCTACCACCGCAGCGCCAAACGCTGCAAGGAGAAGTGGGAGAACATCAACAAGTACTTCAGGAAGACGAAAGAGAGCGGCAAGAAGCGGCCACATCACGCCAAGACCTGCCCTTACTTCCAACAGCTGGACCAGCTTTACTCCAAGTCCCTCAACACCAACAAGCCTCATCCTTCCGCCTCCCCCCCCGGTGCAAATGCAGCCGCTTCTAATCCACCGGGAGACATTAAGGATCAGCCGAAAGTGAACTCTGAGCTACTCGATGCTATCGTCGTGCCGGCCGACCACCAAAGCTTCCGGTTCTCCGACATGGGACCTCTAAGCTTTGATTTTAACAGCAAAGGCAACGAGAACAAGCAGGAGCCCGGTGTCAGCGTGGAGAACAATGACGACGAGGACGAGGACGTCGACCAGGGAGGCGGCGAAGAGGAGGAAGAAGGGGAAGGGGAGAGCCAAGGCGAAGAAGAAAGCCTCGGCAGACGACGGCATCAGCTCGATCAAGAGGAGGAGGAGGACCTCCGTGATTCGAGCCTCTTTTTCCGACGCCTCCAAGCCTGAAGGAAAGGCCAACGCAAACTAATTAGGAGGTACAAATCAGCAGCATAACAATAATTAAGGGTGTATAACCATCCTATGAAGCGGAAATTAATTATAGCTGTTCTTCCAAGTAATTATTCTCTTTATCGTAGCTGTTAGAGACATTAGCAATGCTCCTTATTTCTTCTCTCTCTCTCTCTCTCTCTGTGCCTCTGTTGAGCCCACCATGCTGAGCGAGAACAAACATGTTCATTATTTCATGGCAGCGACTTTGTTCTCTTCCTATAAATAATTGAGACCTGTGACTGTGACGATGAGGACGTAAGACTTGTGTGCGGGCGTGTCCAAAGTGGTCCATATAATAATGCGGTGGCTGAACAGAGAGGGACAGCGGCTTATTCGCCGGGCACGCATGGATTTGGGGGAGATCACAGGTTTATAAATGACTAATTGCCGTGATGCTTGTTGGAGTTTGGATCAGTTGACAGGGAAAGGATGTTTGATGTGAAATGCTTACCTGCCTTGCGGGTGACGTAGGTGATTGAAACCCGCACGGCGCGGCTCATGCAGCATGTAAGCAGAGGAGGAGGAAGAGACGTACTGCTTCCTCGGGGACGCCACCCACCGTCTTTCTCCTCCACCGTCGAGGGTGTCGGCGTACTCGTCTCATGAACTCCACTGGCCAAGAAGATAACCAGCTCCGGTGCAGCTTTTGTGACTGCAGAAGCACAAGAACAGAGCTTCTCTTCTTCTGATCGAACGCCAGAACAATGATGCAGGCTGCTGCTGCTGCTGCCACACAAGAAAATAAAAAGGATGAGAGTTAATGGCAATGAATTACTTACAAAAGACTTGACATCAGAGTTTGAACAATTTGAACGAGTTCTTTTCCTGAGTAGAAATAGCACAATCCAAATTGGCATTCCCCTAAGTATCTGCAAGTGTTGATCCATGCTCTCACTCCACATGTGTGATAGGCTTTATCAGGCAAATCAATCTCTCTCTATCATGTTCCCCCATCCAGTGGCCTTCACCTACCTGGGTTTCCCTCAGATGTTCTCCGAGGTTTTGATGTTGAATCTCTCATTCTGGTAGCCTTACAATCACTTCACGAGGAAAGCTTGTTATGTTGTCAGTGAGTGCAGTTTTGCTAGTTTGAGGATGCATGCATGGTGGCTTCCTTTCTGAGTTGATGAAAGGGGAGGCATTGAAACTTTGGCATGTTGGGACCAGTAATGCATGAGGACAGGCATATCAATATGTTTGGTGGGAGTGAAAAGAAAAGCTGCAATGAACAAGCTAGGTTTCTTTGCAGTTGCTGTAATTTGTACATAAAATGATAAATGTTCAGATCTTTGTCAGGCAAAAAGATAGATCCATTAGGTAAACTTTTCCCTGAAAAACTTCTGACTGATAACATTGAGAGAGAAGCATATGAATACCAGAGAAATGACTCCAAAAGTGCCTGCAGACACAAATGTGGGCACATTCAGGTAGGAGTGAGGTAATCATATTTAATCATTGTGCAAAGTTGAAGGATCCAGTAGATTCTTCTAACTTCTGCTAGGTAAGGTAATGGTCCTCATGGTTGCCACCATAAACTTGCCATGTTTATCTACTCATCTCAGCACCAACAGTTTTGGGTCATATATTACTTCAATTATGAAAGTTATCTCCAGTGACAATTGTGAAAGATGATAATAGAGTTTAATACATGTAAACAGGAAACACAAATTATCAATACAGAACAAGCAAACAGAGTAGATAGTGCATGCAGCCAAACCTCAACTTAATAAGATGAATATTATCATGAGCATGACAAAATGGTGTCATCACTACAAGAATAATGCTCAGCTATAACCTAAAGCATGAAAAAGATGGTGGAGGGAGACTTCAAATTCAAAAAGAAATTTTGTACAGCTTTCACATCACAAAGTTTTATTCGATAGTTGTAGAACATTTCTTGTGCCATTAAGTTTGATGTAAACAATCATCCACTTTATATATCAGTGGCACTTATCTCAGATTTCATGAGGAGCTACAAATTGGCTCTTGCTGAAATACAAACAATACCAAACCAATGCAAGCTACTTTTAAGAGGCATCTATTGGAAGAATTATATTTTCTTTTAAGCATTCAACTCTAAGTCAAACTAGTCAAAGTAAGATCGGATTGATATTCTCTGTAAATGTAAAGACAAATGGAAGTAGAAAGAGAGATAGGTACAGATTGTTCTCCATTCAATCAACAAACAGACATGCAACTCTATGTTCTCAACAGTAATATCATAATGAGGAACACCAAATACAAATAGAATGAGGAAAAAAAGCTTACTTTTGAACCAGAAAAGCTTCATACAGATTGTTCTCCATTCCATCAACATACAGACATGCAACTCTTATGTTCTCAACAGTAATATCATAATGAGGAACGCCAAATACAAATAGAATGAGATAAAAAAGCTTACTTTTGAACCAGAAAAAGCTTCATACAGATTGTTCTCCATTCCATCAGCATACAGACATGCAACTCTATGTTCTCAACAGTAATATCATAATGAGGAACACCAAATACAAATAGAATGAGATAAAAAAACTTACTTTTGAACCAGAAAAACTTCATACAGATTGTTCTCCATTCCATCAACATACAGACATGCAACTCTATGTTCTCAACAGCAATATCATGATGAGGAACACGAAATACAAATAGAATGAGACAAAAAACACTTGCTTTTGAACCAGAAAAACTTCACGACACATTCATTCCATGCGACGACAAAAGAGTTAGGCCTAAATTAATAGTATACCTATCAGTCTCTAGCAATCAAATGCGCTTATCATCTAAGATAGCTAAGAATCCTGACGTCCCATCCTCGGGACAATCAACTCGATAAACCTAAAATTCAAATTCAACACAGTGGTACCCCAATTCTTATAACCCATTTGAATCCTTGTTTTGCAGAGATTAAATTAGAGATGTCAAACGATTGTCGAGGCAGAAATCACACCTTCAATCAACCATGGTCTGGAAAGAAGAGTCTGCGGCGTCGACAAACTTCTGTTGAGGTCCTCGGCAGCGGCGGCGGTGACGGCTTGCTTAAGATCCTGACCACCACGGAAGACGTGGCTCCCGACCGGCGCCACCGTCCTCTGTCAGCGCTGATCGCGCTTGTGCGCTCTCGGGGCCACCGATGGAGTGCGCGATCGCCGCCATGGTTTTCGCTCGTCTTTCACGACGAGTGGGGTACAGATCGGAATGCCTCGCTGGCTTTATCTATCTTGCGGCCCGGCCCATAAATAGAGCCCCAACTGTGCAACGACACGTGGTACTCTTTTGGTAAGTTACTTAATCTCCGTACATCAAATATTATTATTATTATTATTATTATTATTATTATTATTACATCAATCAAGAGGATAAAGTTTATTGGAACACACACCTTTATATTTCACTCATGCTTCGAAGGGGTTAAAGAGGAGAACTAAGTGTTAGCTTTCTGGATTAATAATGATCACCGGCAATCTCCACTATATAGCTCTTGAAGTAGCGATTCAATTCTGCGTCACCATTGTTGTGTGGAGCTGAAGCTTGTACTTCTCCTACCACCACAAATCGACACGATTGCCCCCACCTTCATTGAAATGGACTTAAATAAGGAGCTGCTATGACAGAGATTTTTTGTCGGCATAGATATCATCATCTCTTACCATCTGCAGCAGAACCTTCACAGAAACCTCCTCAATTTGGGTGCCACTGCCTGATGGTTGCAAGGGAGAGCTACGGTCTCGAGGACGGTCTCCGTCGTGTTATACGTATAGAACAGAGAGGGGTTGGGACGGTGCTCTGTTCGCTGCTGGTGTCTTTTGCTGTATTGCTTGATCTTAATGACCTTGCTTTTTGGATTAAAGTTGTGGTATCCATCTGCCCTTCCGCCTCGTCCCTCCTCGCTGTCATTTGTCGGAACGAGAGAGAGGAATGAGTACTGCGTTCACCAGCGCCCTTTTTTTTCTGTGTTCCTAAGCTCACACAGCAGCTCGCAGAGGAGAAGACGAGAGAGGCAATGGAACAGTGAAGAGAACGAGCTCAAAGAGATCCAAAGATCCGATCTTTGAGGTCATGGATAGACCAAGATGCAGGCTCTGCGGCCGCCGCTTCTCCAATGGCCACGCACTCGGCGGTCACATGCGCTCCCACAGGAACTCTGCCGCTCGTCCCGCGATGGCTCAGCAGGCACTCCCCTCTCCTTCCGCCTCATCGTCCTCTTTCTCCGTGGCGGCGGAGGGCAGGCCGGCGATGGGCGCGTACGGTTTCCGCAAGAACCCGAAGAGAAGCTTCCGACTTGTCGATCCCGAGTTCTCCTCCGTCGCCGCAGGCGGATCCTCCACCGTCGTTCATGAGGGCGAGAGCGACGCGGAGTCGTCCTTCCGACGGCGGCTAAGCCGTCCTCGCCGCCAAGTTGATGCCGTCGCCGACGCCAAACCGGTCAGCTCCGTCTCGGACGCCTCGACTGAGGAGGACGTCGCCCGCTGCCTCATGCTGCTCTCCCGCGACGCCTGGTCCAAATCGGAAGCAGAGGGCCAGCGATCCAACGGCTTGGACGAGACCAATGAGGACGAAGAGGAGGAGATCTATTACGATCAAGTGGAGGAGAAGGAACCGGAACCGCCACTCGCCGCCAGATCGCGGCGGAAGAGGACGAGGTACCAATGCAGCACGTGCGGGAAGTTCTTCCGGTCGTATCAAGCTCTCGGCGGCCACCGCGCGAGCCACAAGAGGGTCGAGGTGGAACGCATCCCGACCGCCGATACCAACCCTCCTGACCGCGAGCCCAAGCTCTTCGAGTGCCCTTACTGCTGCAGGGTCTTCTCCTCCGGCCAGGCGCTCGGCGGCCACAAAAGATCCCATCTTTCCTCCGCCATCACTGCCCCCGTTCACCGTCCGCTACCGCCGCTCTCTCCTTTCGTCCTCGAAGGCAGCTTCATCGACCTCAACCTCCCAGCCACACCCGAAGAAGAGGCAGAGATCTCGACGCTCTCCGTCGCAACGGAATTCGCGTCAAAGTAATCGCTTTTCTCTCCTCCGATTACTCTCGGAGCTCAAAGTCGCCATTTTGGAGGTCATTCAAGGTAAATTCTTCAGATTTCAGAAGAAAAGACAAATCGAATCCGATTCTTATGCATTTCATTGCTTTCAAGCCAGTTCGATCTGGGTCACCAGTTGCAGTGGCCACTGTAACTACAGCACAGCAGAGAAGAATCATATGAATCAGAAAGGAAAAAGGAGAAGGAACAGTGAAATCTTCTTTGTCGAGCTTTTTGTACTCGAGTCGTGTCGATCAAAGGCCAGTCTTTCAGAAAAGCTGGCGCTCTGTTACTAACCACGAAGCATTTAGACAGTGCGCTGTTTCCAGCTGGAGTTGGCTAACTATTTTGCTTCGCTCTTCGTCGGTATCGCTGCCACGTGTCCGAAAACCATGGCTCCAACGCGGCATGTCTCCTGTTCATATGTAAAGCCTGGCAAAGTTACCCACGCTTACTCGTTCTCTAAGAGGCCACTGATGGGTCCCATACGATCTCTTCGGCCGTTGGCGACTCGGGTATCGGCGCAGCGTGACCGTACCGTGCGATCGCGGTGCGCTGGCATCTTCCGTGGTGTTTTCGCGGCGGTGATCAGAGAGGAAGCGGTGAACGGTGACGGGACTCGCCGAAGTAACCGATCGTTCGCAGGAACCATTCGTACGGTCATATCTAAACATGCGGGGCCCACCGCTCCCGTGTTCCGTGCGAGCGACCAAACACCAGAAGCACTCGTTGCAATGGCGATCGACCATGGGCCCCGTCCACATATGCACTTATCTGGATGGTGGTTGGACAGAGGCGAGGCATTACAGCCTCGCGCCGACGGCGACAGTCTGTGATCCCCAATGGTTCGGCGTCCTTTTCTGGTTGGTGACTCGAAACGTTCACGCGCCCAACGTACCTGATGAAATGACGTACGTCGAGTCGGTCCCACTCGGGCCTTCTTCAGGCTACGAGTTACGTGTTTCAAAATGCGGGTGCGATTTGAGCGTAAGACTCATAGCCTAACCTCTCCCTCGACCGCTTTGCGAGGAATTAATGGGATTTCCAGGATGATGATGTGTTGCACGGATATTGACGCAGCCAAACACACGAGAACGGTTGGATGTGCCAAAAAGTGGTTCACACATCACTTCACTAAACCCATTAAGCGTGGAATTTTGTATGAAAATGTTTCATGTATTTTGCAATGAAAATTGATTAATCGATAATTATACTGATAATGTTATGCGAATAAATGTTTCATAATGATTTGTCCATTGTCTATAGGACATGATTGTACAATTTTTTGGCAATGATATCTATGGACACAATTGTGAGCAACACCGTCTCCATCAATTGATGTATCAAAGCACCAACCTTGGAATGGTAGATAAGCAACATGGACTCACCTTAACATATGAATTAGATTTGTAGTAATGTAAATTACATGTGAAATAATACATTTTGGTGTGAGATTCTTTGAATTAAAATATTATATTAGATAAAATATGATGACAACACCAATAATAACATTAGTCGGGTCCGCTTACATTTTGTTATCATTAAACCATGTAAAAATAAATTAAAAATATTTAAATTTTTATTTATATTCGTAAGAACGAGGAATAGGTAAAATTTTTTGATAGAAAAAAACAAGGCACAGTTTTTAGTCACAAAACACAAATAATCCTTCGACCATTAGATTGCACAGAACATCACAGGTTAGTTATGTATTTTGGGTGAAAACACCATTAACAAATCGATTGTTCTGAAAGAACTACAATGACTGTTTGAATGTGTCACATTAAGTTCAAAAATTATCTTGCTTTTACAGTTTATTGAGATCATAAATTTCATTACACTTGCTATAGACTAACAAGATATTACACAGATTGTATCTCACATGATCACCCTCAAAAGGGTTTTACACAAAGATTGAGATATAGTCTTTGTTAAATGGTTAATGACAAGAAGTTTATCTTTGACGTAGCAAATTAAGCCGAGACGGCAGCTGGTGTGGCCGCAGGAACCCTGTTCTCCACAGGGATCTCCACAAACTCGGAAAGAATTGCTCGGAATTCATCGCCGGTCATCGTTTCCTTCTCTAGTAGCACCTCGACGATCTTATCAATGGCTTCCCGATTGTTCCTAATATGACTGAGTGCAATCTCGTATGCGCTGTCTGAGATCCGCTTCACAGCAGCATCGATGTCTTCAGCAAGTTTCTCGGACATTGAGTTTCTGGCCATCATTCTCATGATAACATCACCACTTTGTGCTCCTGAATCCATAAGCGACCATGGACCAATCTCAGACATACCGAATGTCACCACCATCTGCAACAGGGAAAAGAAAAAGGAAATAAAAGGAGACAGTTATGAATGCTCAAGACTGTACATGCATACCATGAAACATAAGACAAATAAAACCTATTCATCTGTCTAATTCAGTAGTCGATATATATTTCGTAGAAGACAACCACCTTTATAATCAGTTCCTAGTTCCCTTAATCATCATCCATCATGTCCATAGTATCTTTTTCCAGGCAGCTATTATGTCAGATGCCAGAATATCGGTAGACAAGGTATCCATCTCCATATGCTGCCACAGAATATTTCTTTGGAGGCCACAGAATTTTTCACGATATCAACATGATCACACGAGGAAATAGTTGGTGTGATATACAATGACCAGAGTATGTCAATCTGATGATCCATGTTGCATTATGCAAAACATGTAAGTAATCATCCAACAAGCACAGAAACCAAAAAGGTTTTCCTGTGCCACAGGACAGCTCCAAACTTCTATTCATTTCTTATAGAGAGATGCAAGTGTAAGAAATAAATCAGAATTTAAGAAGAGCTCCCATATTTTGGTAAGAAAGCCGTATGTGATAACAACAGGGTGACACTTGACACAACAGTTAAGTTGCTGCAATTTGTCTTCTGTGTCATCATCTGAGACTGAGCAATGCAAATGTTCAAGGAGTCCCATGAGTTGCATTTAGTAAAAAAAAAAAGAGAAGTGTGTGGACTATTCAAAGCAGGTTTGTCTCGAGGTGTCAAAATATTTTTGATTATTTCTATTTCATCCTATTTTAACTTTCTCAAGGCAGTTTATTATCACTCATCATTTCAACAAAGGAGCAGCAGAACATAGTGAAAAAGCTAATACACAATTTCTTGTTGCTGTGCAAATTAAAAAGTTGTGATGTAACACTAACCTGTTTGGCCAAGCCAGTGATCTGCTGTAGGTCACCAGCTGCACCAGTGGTCACCTCAGATTCCCCAAAGATAACCTCCTCAGCCGCTCTTCCTCCAAGACCACCAACAATTCTTGCAAAAAGCTGTTGCTTTGAAATCAAAGTAGGATCATCCATGGGGATGAACCATGTCAGTCCACGTGCCTGGCCACGTGGAACGAGGGTGACCTTTTGCACAGGATCATGTCCTGGAGTTAATGTTCTGCAATTTGGAAATGTCAATTAGGTGTTGAGAAGACAATCTAAAACTAATGTCGACAAATTAATGGACTTAGAGGAGAAAACAGCTAAGGTTTAACTACAAACAATTTAACATGGTAAAAGTTATTAGATTAGAATGGAAAATGAAGAGCCAAAAACACCTTTTAGAGTTAGTCAACTGCAGTTACCTATACCAATGATCCTAAGTTGCTGAGATTTGCTTCACTTCCCTATCACGGAAGAACAAGTCAAAGACGGAAGAATAATGGATTAACACTCCGTAGAAAATCCATACCCGAGTCTAACTTTCCACAAGCCGACATATGAAAAAGCAACAACAACTAAGTTTAAGAGGCAATATCAGCAATTGGGCAACTGATTAATCATTGCTGGAAGTATCAGAAAGGCTACAAGTTGATTTTAGTTAGTTCATTTTAGAGGGAAAAGATAAAGAACTCGCCACAAAATTTGGAAGGCCATGCAGCTTGCCTAGAATTTTACAGAAACACAAAGGACAAACTGATTTGTAACATGAGAGGCTATTCTTACCCGCAAATTGCATGTCCGACTTCATGATATGCAACCAGACTTTTGCTTTTACCATCTGTCATTATGGTTCCTTCCATGCCAGCCACAATCCTGTCAATAGAATCATCTATGTCTTTCGATGATATTGCCGGTTTACCACGACGGCCAGCCAGGATGGCTGCTTCATTCAAAAGATTTGCAAGATCTGCTCCACTGAAACCAGGAGTTCTCATTGCTATAACATCAAGTGAAACATCAGCCTCAAATTTTTTATTGCTGCCGTGAACCTTCAGGATTTCTGTACGTCCCCGAACATCTGGAACATCTACCGTAACCTGCAAATTGTAACCACAATTCCTCAGAAGTCAGAACATTAGAGAAAATAAATCTCAAAATACTACCATTCTGTAGATGTAATGGCAAATAATAATCTAAATTTAAATTTATGATTCAATTGTTTCTACTCAGCATGTTTTGGAATCTTAGGCCTAGATATAAAAGGGATGTTACTAACCTGTCTGTCAAATCGACCAGGCCGAAGTAAAGCAGAATCCAGAATGTCTGCACGGTTGGTCGCTGCAATGACAATTATACCAGTATTTCCTTCAAAGCCATCCATTTCAGTCAAAAGCTGATTGAGAGTCTGTTCTCTTTCATCATTTCCTCCTCCAATTCCTGTTCCTCTTTGCCTACCAACGGCATCAATCTCATCAACAAACACAATACAAGGAGCATTCTCTTTGGCCTTCTTGAAAAGGTCACGAACTCGTGAAGCACCGACACCAACAAACATTTCTACAAATTCAGATCCTGAAATTGAGAAAAATGGGACACCTGCTTCACCAGCAATTGCCTTGGCAAGCAGAGTCTTTCCAGTTCCTGGAGGACCTATTAGAAGGACACCTTTAGGAATACGGGCTCCCACTGCAGTGAATCTCTCGGGCTTTTTCAGGAACTCAACTACTTCCATAAAGTCCTGTTTTGCTTCATCTACTCCAGCAACATCATCAAAAGTGACCCCCGTATTAGGTTCCATCTGGAACTTGGCTCTTGATTGACCGAAGGCAAGTGGAAAGCCAGGGCCTCCAGGTCCACCAAGCCCACCAGATGACCGTCTCGACAAAAGAAACAAACCTCCTATTAGGATAAGGGGGAATGCCAAGTTTCCAATCAAATTGAACAAAAGAGATCCGGAGTCTTCTTGAGCATTATGTGCAGCAAAATCAATATTCTTCTCTCTCAACTTCTGAAGAAGCTCCTGACTAAGACCGGGAAGTTGCACACGGACTCTCTGGATCCGGTTGCCAAGCTCAGGAGAAACAGCTTCCACTATAGCTATGGTTCCATTCTCAAACAAGTCAACTTTCTTCACCCTATCCTTGTCTAGATACTCTAAGAATCTTGAATATGACATTCTTGAAGATGATACACCTTGATCATCAGCGTAAGCTTTCCTTGCACCCACTATGGTCGGCAAGCTTAATCCAATATTTCCAAGGAGCAATTTAAGAAATCCTCTTCTTCCTTCATGCTGCTTCTGGTCCAAAGAGGCAGAAACAGAGATTGGCCGAGACAAAACAGAGAGTGAAGGAAGGCCTGCTGAATAAGTCAGATGATTTCCAAAAATCTCCTTGGTAAATCTTGGTTTTGTAGTCAGGCATACTGATGAAGCTGCCATTATTCTCCCTGTCCAGCCAGAACAAAGATATGTCAGATCATCAAAGCAGAACTGTAAACTCATACAACTAGCAACAAGACCGAGCAAACAACCTGAGTTTGAACAAACCAGGCCTCGAGCTTGGCTCAATCAAACAAAGGGAAGGTTTGAGAAATTGGGCTCAAGCACGAATGCCTGTGTTCAGCTCACCACAGTTCAAGAAGTGCATGTTCCACATAGATACACTTCTTTTGCTTCTAATGAGACGAATTGAGGGCGTTCCGCAAACCAATCGAATGAATTCAAAGTTGGTTAACCTAAGAAGACGAATGCAAAGATCCGACTTAGCAGTGAAAGTAAGTCTAATGGAGCATCATTTCCCTTGGATATGATGCTGTAGCAAATCTAGTATACTCGAATTCCTTGCATTTCTGACTATAGTCCATGTAAATGCCAAACTACCACACCCCTATCATAATGAAGTCTGCCAAAAGATAGCCTCCATGCTGGTTCTTCATATTTTGTTTATAAGGCCGCATCTATTTCAAAAGGCCAATCTTTGATACTAAGCGGTCGGGGGGGTCATACAATTCATCGTTTTAGTACAGCATAGGGGAATCCTTTGAAGAACAAACATATTAATGCCAACTTATAACGAGAAAGAACTGAAAAAAGGTGAAAATTTTCTCTTGAACTCATTGATCGATAAGAAAAATGATAGCAAAGGGTTTCCAGGATCCAATCTACTCGTCACAAGAAACATCCCCCCGCAGAACGACAAGGGGACCAATTTCCGCTCACAATTTATCGACCGTAAGACCCTTCAGCAACCTTGAGCACCTAAATTGCAGCCTGAATCTAAACGTGACCAAAGAGACGGAAGCCCTTCTTGTTCCTCACAACCTACAAATCTATCCCCAAAAGAAAAGAAAAAAAGAAGCCTTTTTTCTTCTCTCTCTCCAAGAGCAAAAAGTACCGTCGTCTACAAGAATGATCAGAAGAGGACTCACCAGCTTAGAAGTGGGAGATCTCGTCTCGCTCTCTCTCTCTCGGTGGGCAGCGTGGGCGGCTGCCAAGGTGAAGAGGAAGGAGTTGAGTTGGGAAGAGCTCGGAAGGGGGAGAGGATTTTTATTCTCGCGACGAGAGACGCAACTCCCCGGTCGTTTCCCTTCTATCGTTGGGGATTGGGCTACGTGGCAGCCACCAACGCCACGATAACTTAATTCCCCTTATTTCCTGTTCCGCATGCGGACACGCGATCTTAATTCTGACATCCAGACTTTTTCCCCTTTTTTTGTGTGATTGATTATTTTTACACGGAGATTTTTTCTTTTATTGCCAGCATCCCTTGTAGCCGTTGGTTTTCTAGATTTGCATTAAGATTAGAAAAAATATCAAGGATTGCTTTCCCAGTGTTAGAAACACCTATCACAACAGCCATAAGAATGAGAAATGGGAGGCGATAGAAGCCGTGAAGAAAGCACCAAAATGTTTAAGTCAAACGTCGAACCCTAACGTAACCCCAGATCAGACCCTAACATAGTGCATGTGAGGCGTAGCCACCATCCTTTCCCAAATGCTAGGTGGATTCTGATACCAAATATTATAACTCGGACCTGATGGACTAACTGAAGTTGATAGTAGTACACTCATCAGACCCTTATAAGTCAATCTTAATCTTGTCCACTTTCGATGTGGGACTAATCATGAGTGTTACACTAGAAGTAGAAGAGAGTATATATATAGATGAGGAGCCAAAACAACATAAACGAGGAAACAGACAACACTTCCGCATGCGGTGGAAGCAGGCGGAGGTTGGGCAATCTGGAGGAAATGACATTGCTGAGGATGCAGCATAAAGAATCGGGAATTCTGTTCTTCTGGCGGTGGTGGCGTTCTGCCGCTTGGGCGTTGCATTAGCATTGAGCCCCGGCTCGGCAGGAAAGGACGCCGGCATTGGAAGTCAATGTGGCGACCAATGAAGAAGGCTTGGCCCCGAGGCTGGAGGCCCTTGCGTAGCTGGCTGAAGCGCCTGCACCGGAGGGGGTGAAGTAAGCACCGTTTAGCAGTAGGTCACCCTCCGACCTCCAGTTCCAGCTCTTCCACACGCTCGCATCCGTGTCCACCCTCTTCGTCACCTGTTCGATCGAAGTACAGTGTGAGCGAGCGAGGTGAATCCTGACACGAAACAGAGGATGGAGAACAGTGTACCTCCTTGGCAAACGGATCGGTCGGGGCGAGGTATCGGTTGCCCTGGCTGTTGATGGTTGGATTTGCACTCCCACCGATGGCATACATCTCCCAGTGTGTGTAGTCATTGTTTACGACATGGAAGTAACCATGCCTGCACCTGCAAGTTCCGCACTGTGTCATCTCATGTAGGAACATGATTTGAATGTTCAGGAGGATACCTGGGCATTCTCTGAATCAGTCCCTCGCCAAAATGGTTGAATGCGATCGTAACTTGCATGGATTTATCCCTTACGTAAGAATCACTGTGACCCAAAAGCATGACCTGCATCGATTTGGCCAACACTCGATCGGTGTCAGTATGATCCTGACGGCATCTAACAAGAGCACGGCGAGAATGGAATACCTCGTTGTGGTGGGTGAAGTAATTGTTGGAGATCGTAATGGCAGTGGAGCCCACGACGGCATCAACGAGCCCATCGGCGCAGTTGGACAGAGAGCAGTGGTCGACCCAGATGTGGCTGGAGCTGAAGATGGAAACGCCATCGCCGTCGGCCATGGTCCTCCATCCATAGTGGGAAGGGGAGCTGCGGACCATGGCGTTCCCGGTGGGCTTGCAATCGTGGATGTGGAGGCCGTGGATGATGACGTTGGTGATGTCCTGGATGGTGATGCAGGCGCCGTTGGCGATGTGGACGTTGGCGCCGCGCCCGTCGACCGTCTTGAAGCTGTTCATGATGAGCTCCTCCTTGAGCGTGATCACCATGTCGCGCTCGAAGGTGATCCACAGGGGCTCGTCTTGGATGACCGCGTACCGAAGCGTTCCCGGGCGAGGATTCACGGGATCGTCGTCCCCGGCATCCGTCACGACGTAGTACTGTCCGTCGCGCCCACCGAGGGCGTTGCGGCCGAAGCCAATCCCACAGTCGGCCAGCCTTTTCCGGTTGAGATGCCAGTCCGGATCGCACCGCCAGCAGTCGTCGATCGGGTTGCCCGTGCCGCATGACAGGTAACCGAGAGATCGACGAGCCGTGCTGTTGCTAATGATCCTGATGGACCATGTTTCTCTCTCTGTTACTACCAAACCAAAGGTATACCCACAAAAAATTGCATCTTCTCTATTGAACTTACATTTGGACAGCGGAAGCAACCTCTTCCGGATCATCGACTGCGGCTTCTGCCGTCCCGGCCACAGCCCTAGGAGAAGAAGGAGAAGCATCTCAGAGTGAGTTACACATTAACGAGGCGTAATTCTTGATCACATGTTTGGATTTTTGTTCTCTTTTTTATCTCGGAAGTCGAGATGCTACAACTTTTGGGGAAACCCACACAGCTCGAGGTGGTCTGCCGCTCTCTGAGCTCAGATCAAAAAGGGCGAAGGAAAACGTCGAACACTTGGAAGAAGGGGAATCTACGATGCCCGTAGACGGCAACGGTGAGATCCGACGGTCCGGATCCATTCTAGACTAACTCCAACGGTCCAGGTCCTCCGATTTACCAAATCGAGCTGGGTGTGACAATACTCACCTCGCTTCCACCGGAGCAGCGGCGCTCGTCGCGTTCGCCTTGGCCTCCCTCAGGCTCCTCCGTGAAGCTCCCCCGTTCCTACATTAACACCAAGAAAGAAAACTCGTGAGACCGCTCTCTACTGCTTCCCGAACCCCCTTCATCAGCGAAAAGCTACGGCCTTTGCTCTGCTCAGAGGAAAGCGATCATGAGAAACTGGAGCCCCCCTGTTTCCAGAGCAATGGCTTCTGCTCCGCACCTAAACCCCGTACTCGGAGAGATCTTTTCTTCAAATCGAGTTCGTACTTCAAGATCTCCCGAACTAAGAATGGATATAAAGGACGATATAAAGGTACCTCGAATCGGAGGAAATTGCAGATACAAGTAGGAGGCCGAGAAGCAACAGTAGCAGAAGCAGAGAAGGACCGCACTTCGAACCCTCCGCCATCGTCGCCCTCTTCGCCTCTCTCTCTCGCTTCCCAGAAGAGGAGTTGGCGAGAAACACCGCGCGGAAGCGCCATTATATAGCCGCGAAACGGAAAACTACCAGCCTTGCAACCGCCGTTAGTGGAGACGGCGTCTCACTCAACGCCCACCACCGACGACGTGAGAGGGGGTCGTCGTGCTCCGTCGCCTCAGCCGACATTAACGCCGTGCTCGACCCAGGCTTCGCTTCGTCCCGGGAGGCACCTCCTCCACGTCGGATATCGTCCCGGCAGCAGCCGGTTTCCCCGCCGCACCTTTCGCCTCATCACGCGATCCCGCCTGCCGTTACAACGGTTTGTCGTCGTCGATGGTGTCGCGCATAATTACGTGGTCGCCGCAAAGCAACCCCCAATCATCACGCGTGTCCGTGACGACATTGCCATCCTACACGTGCTACCGGGAAGCTCCGGTTGTCCATCAAAAGAACGGTTTGAATGGTGACCATCGGATGCAATTTGGACGGTGGAAAAAAAGAGAGAAACGACAGCACTCGTTCTCTTCTGCTTAGTATCCCAAAAATTGGATAGCTGGGATCAAGTCCAAGATTTGCGGCAAATGAGCCGCATCTTTACTTGTAATGTTCTTCTTCTTTGACCAGCGGCGTGCACTTAATCATAGAGGAAGACCATTGCCGCCCACTGGTCAACGTCCGTCTCTTTCCATCATTCACGTCCCATGTGGTTCTCCTTCACACACACACACGAACAGAGTCACTCACGGCATGCTTCGAGCACGCCCACATGACGGACGGCCACAAATCACGGCCAATTCAGTGTTCTCAGGATCGACAAGCCGACGTAGCATATTTATGTTGCATGCATCCGCTTCCGTGTGCGTTCGGAGCACAGCCTGCGCATGGATGGCGGCGTTGGGGTGGACGACGTATCCGGCAGGGCAACTCGGCTGTTCAACTCAGCATCGTGTCCGCCAGGCAAACTCGGTCTTCCGGCCGTCGGATTAACACCTTTGACGGCTCCTTCGCAACCGATCTCATCATGATCGTGATCTATTCGAACGTCATGTTTGAGAAAGTTGCTCGACGTCATCATTTCCGGCATAGTTTTTGGTGGGTTTCTTAATTTAAGTATAATTTAGTTTAATTTCTGCTCTAACAATGAGGGCCAAATTATATGAAAGATTCTTGGGAGGTTTGACTTATAAGTCCACAACATTAAGGACTCGTTAATTAGAGTCAGAAAATAGTGAAGTATAACATGAAATATCCAAGCGATCAACTCGAGCTTTCATCCATATCCGGTGACTGCCGACTCCCAAATCATCAACCACACTGTTGGCTTTCCTTCTTGCTTTCAAGTCTCTCTCTCTCTCTCTCTCTCTCTCTCTCTCTCTCTCTCTCTCTCAGCAGTAGGTTTGCACATGCATGCAACATGACCTCGTGCGCCAAATCCTCAAGCCATGTGCTGCGGGTGTGGGTGCATGGACTTTTCTCCCTTTCTCGACCTTCTTCTGCCTGCAATCACAGCACAGTTTGGGCACTTCCCTCTCTGTCTCTCTCTCTCTCTCTATGTGCTGAGAACTGAGACGGTAGGTGTTCTTATCCTCAAGAAGATGTGTTTGGGAAGGATATCGAGAAGATTAAATATCTGTGTCACAATCTGAATTGAGGGATACATGGTTGTGGAAGCATATGGGTTGTCGAATCCTAATTGGATTGGGGAAGCATATAGCATGGGGCATGTTAGGTCTATTGGTGTCAACTTTCAAGATGACATCACGGCCACAAGGATGATCGAAGGAGGTTTAGAGGATGTCTTCAGGTAGGCCTTCGAAAGAAGTTGGGGGGAATACTGCAACTTGTTGATTACCTCAGAAAGAGAGAGAGAGAGAGAGAGAGAGAGAGAGAATATTATCCATCTCATGCCACAGAATACTCCTAATTTGTTTAATTGAAGAGTCTAAATTAGATGATAAAAAATTCTTGAAATCAAGTTAATGATAGTTTATCATTTTCTTTATTCCTTACCCATATTCTTATCTGTTTTATTTCCCCAAATTATATAAAATATTGAAAGTTGGGTGACTTGAAATTTGATACCAAATAGGTTTTTAAAAAGTGACTCGAACTATATATATAAAAAAAGTTACACAATATGACATGTATTATCGTCAATAGAAATTTCAACATTATTATGTTAAAAATCAATTATTATATATCCATACATCGAATCATTGTAACTTAATTCAAGCTCATATGCATAAAAGATTCAATATGATTAAAAGGGAGCCTTGAAGCTCGATCAATGGTTGAAGAAGGATCGAGGATCTACTCGATGACTCGCTTACATGAAGATTGAGATATGATTAGTTTTTAATATTATCCTTTTAATGTTAAAGTAAGAGTTTCGAGTCAATAATAAATGATCTTGATTATTATAACTTAGTATATTTTTTACAATAGATTTAACCCAAGAAAATATTATACAATATGATCTCGGTTTCCATATGTCATTTTTCACATATATATATATATATATATATATAATTTCATTGGCAATAAATGAAGGCCTTTTTAGGCCCATTATGAGCCCTGCAAACATTAATTGATGGCTAAGTTGAAACATCGACACGTGATTGGGACCAACAAAGCTCGACTGGTCCTCAATGGACAAGGATTGACGGCAAGGGTTGCTTGTGCGCATGAATCAGTAGACCAAAGACTGTTCTCCAAGCTTATCCTCTTCTCGGCGTGGGCCCTCTCAGAAATCTTTCCCACCCAATCAGAGCCTCCCACCTGTGTCATCTTCCACAAAACGACACGAGAGAACTCAACGTCCGACCCCCACACCCATGCAGCTTGCGGAGGATATTGTGGTGAAGCCCTGATCCGAGTACTTACTGTCATCCCCACTCTGTGAGCCCCCCAAGTCTCCACGGTCCAGTGATCGCAAACTCACATACAATGGCTTGCAGCTCCATCCACGGTGGCCCCCTACTGCAGCTCCCTTCGGTCGGTGCCAAGAACATTTTCTTCTCCGGTGGCACCACAAACCCCGGTGTAAGCTTTCCGTCTACTGCCCGCGACAACAGAAGATGCTCAAAGATCAGGCCGTCGGTCTTCTCGGCCGGGGACGGCCGGCCGCAGCTGGACGAGAACCCGGAAGGGATCATCTCCGGCGAGTGGACCGAGAACTTCTCTTTGCTGAGCTACGATGACCTGCGGGCGTATCTCGAGTCACACATCACTGCTCATAAGGTCCGCTGCTTGCTTGCATGCGTGTGCATGTCCTCGGCTCCCTCATTACCGCTGTGAGTTGCACCAGGTCGGGCCTTGTTCGCCGCTGAGGGAGGTCATGTCGACGGCGATCGTGACGGCGACCGCCAGCCAGATGCTGGAAGAGATCGACCATCATTTTGAGGCCGTGTCGGGGCTGCCGGTGGTCGACGGCGAGCGCAGATGCATTGGGGTCGTTTGCAGGAGCGACGGGAGTAGAGCCTCTTCACTTGGAGTTGGTGACTGACCTTTCTTTTAGGGTTTTGATCGATGCGGGCATGAAACCTTCTGTTCTCTTGCAGTCCAAGACGAGCGTCGGTGAAGTCATGTCCTCTCCAGCGATCACACTGTCGCCTGAGAAGACAGTCACGGGTATACATCTTACATGATTCCACTCCTAACTCTCAGGATCAGAATCTAATCTACCTGTTCTTATGCAGATGCTGCAGCCTTGATGCTGAAGATGAAGATCCATAGGATACCCATCTTGAACGAGGAAAGGCGAGTCATAGGTGAGAACGAACGCAAAGCACCGAGCTCATGCCTCGGGCTCTTCAAACCATTTTTAGCTAATGCACGCCACCTTGGTCATCTTCACAGGCATTGTGACGCGCACTGACATATTGGAAGCTTTGGAAGCATGAACACTCCTACGGACTCTTCTCTTCATGTAAATATACTGAAACAATATCGACTATGTAAATAATGGTTTTTTACGTTGTGTAATGGAAACTCCTACCGACTCACTCGTTAATCATATTTTGGCAATTTTGTGTGTTAAGACGCCACCGAAAAATGTTTGAATGTCTTCATATTAGCTTTGCTTTGTATAATTGTCATCGATCATAAGTGAAAATAGTTCAATATTAGGAGAAGGATTGCTAGAGAGATCATAAATATTAAAATAGGTCACATAAACATCAACCGACCTTAGCTCAGTTGGCAGAGCGGAGGACTGTAGTTGTACACTGTCATCCTTAGGTCGCTGGTTCGAATCCGGCAGGTCGGATTTTTTATTTCTTTATCTTATTTTACCAGATAAACAATATATATTTTATTTTAATTTCATTGCCAGAAAATTTACGTAATTTCTTTATATCATCTGCCAGATTTTTTTTTATGTATTCTCATACGATCACATTTTTTATCGCCTGCTGAAAACACTTGTATTTGTCGATAAATCGAGCTAACTGATTGAGTGTATCTAAAATACTTGGATGCGAGCACACATCAGTTTGTGCCGAAGCATAACAACGCTGCTTTATTTCTTTTAATTTTTAATAGCAAAAAACACCAATTTTGTTACCGTCGATAAATGTTATAAGCTATGTTAATATACAAGTCGCTTCGTAGCTCCAATTAACTTCTAACCTCATATAATACTATTCTTTCTCTCTCTCTCTCTCTCTCTCCCTATGTACAGGAGTGCTGAAGAAA